TGTTTTGGCTTTATCTTCAATTCCTCCCTCGACTTCCTCTAGTCTGCTGCCAAGTTATGTTGTTTCTCCTTGCGCACACAGCAAAGACCCACCCCCCCCTTCTCCCTCTCCCCTTGCTTCATGCCCTGGTTAACTCCTGCTCATGCCCTGGTTAACAGCAACCTCCTGCTCTCTGGCCTTCCTCTGCTGCACCTCGATCCTCTTATTTCTGTCTAAAATGCTACTGCTAAAATAACTTATTCCTTTGGTAAGAGGGCTCACGTGATTCCCCTCCTTGAATCCCAACACAAACTCTTCAGTCCTCTGCTGAGGAACTAGATATCCTTGCCCACGTTTTAGATTAAGGGTCCTTATTTATATGGACATTTGCTCCTTTTGCTCCTCCAACCCCAGTGGATTCAAGTCTCTTGCCCTCTAACATGGCTCCACCCAGCTCTTGCTGCCCCATAATCCATCATAAGCTTTACTGCATTAGCTTACGTCTTTAGCAATTAACACCAAAAATACCAACAACATCAGCATTATAATGCAACAATCACAATAACAAAAACTGTAATATACAATTTTATAAACAATCATTAAGATCAGAACAACCAAATCTGAGTTAAACCCAACATCAATTTAAGCAATTTAGTCAGATAGTTGACAAAATACATAGATTTATCCATCAGCCACATTCACAGTGGAGGGTTTTGGTAAGGTCCATGCAACAAACTTTGCCATTTGCATCGTTATCCATTTACTTTGGTTGGCAAGTAATATAGTTAGTCTATCACTATCCGCTCTCCCTGAAAATTGTGATAAAATATTCCCAAGATACCTTTCGTGTTCCAATGCAAATTTTGGGCAGTAAAAGACCTCATGGCCTAGATCCTCAAAGAAATCTGATCACAAGTACAGACACGTTCTTTATATGGGATCACATTGTAACGGCCTGTTACCATCACCAATTGTAAGGTATCCCACCGTGCTTTGGTAAACGCTTTCTTGTGCTTGGGATTAAGTAAATCGATAAGGTGAGATGGAAGAGTTAAAGGAGAAGGTGCAAGTTGCTTGTAAACGGGAGCTATTCTCAAAGTACTTAGCAGTTTGCTGCCCCTTCAAGGGGCACTCCCTTCAGAATGTGCTGCTCTCTCTCCCCTTAACTTCCCCACCATCCTCATTCCCCACTGTAAACAAGCTCAGGCATATGCAACTCCATTGGCTCACATTCCTTACTATGCTTTTGTTTCTCTCTGTTGACTTCCCAGCTGGCTACTGTAGAGCATAACTCTCTAACAACACTGATGGTCCTGTAAATTTTGTTAAAAAATATACTTTTCCAGGTGCCAAATTGGGGAAAGGTTTGCAGAACTTCAGCAGACTAGGAATTCATTTCATGCTCATTTCCCAACTGTCTAGAGTTTGTCCGGCTCAGCCTTTTTCAGAACCTGCCCCCCCCCCCCCCCCCGGGGCGGCCCCCCTCCCCCCCCCCCCCCCGTTGGCTGGCCACACTAATTACCTGAACCCCTGAAACCAGAGCTAACCCCATCCACTCCCCCACCCAGCAGCCTCCCTGTTCAAGGGCCAGACCCCCTGCCAATGGGCTCCCTGCTCAGCAGGGAAGATTCCCCTCTCTGCCATTGACCCTGTTTAATTCGGCTTTCTCCACATTAACCTTCTGCTCATCAAAAAACTTGTTTCCTCCTCTCTGCAGTATTAGAGATGACAATCTGTAGCCCATTTGAAAAGGGAACAGCAGAGATGATGGAATATGAAATTACATTTCAAAAGATCAGAGAATGAAGGCAAGAACATTCACACTGGGGGGGGGGACCGTGGGGGGGACCCGACAGCCTTCTTCTTAAGCTGCTGTAGAATTCCCGTGGCAACACTGCAGAAAGGAACTCCTGTTTCCCAAAGACTCTAAGGGTCATTAACACATGCCTGTTACTTTCCAGGCGTGAGTTCTTTGTAGGGGGAAAAGCAGGTACACCTGCAACACAATACCGGTGCGAGAAAACTATCACATACAAAACAGTGAGAATGGAGTAAAGCAGCAGCAGCAGCATTCTACACCGTCTTCAAAACAACTAATTGTGAGAGGGCAGATGAGCCTCCTGCTCCCAAGCGGGATTAACTGGGCTGCACATCATATCCTGGGACACCCGCTGTTGTTTCCACTGCACTGCCATCTCCGCCACTGTTAATATTTAAACTGTACGCTCCTGGGAGTCTTGTCAGGTTGTCGGGGTTTTTTGCTTTCTTACATAACTTAGGAAAACAGTAGGTACACTGAAGGTGTTACATAAACAAACTGCAATTTAAAAAATCCGATAGGTTATGCCAGTGTCCTTACCCTTGAGGCTCAGGGCCAAAAAAGAATGTTATTTTAGGGATCTGTGACTACAGACTCCAATGCATAGTTTAACCTCAAAAAACAAGCTGGGGGACTGGAGCGGTAGAGGGTGTGGGTGTGTGTGTGAGATGGGGGGGGGTTTAATACTTTTCACACTAGTGGAAATTTCCCCCCTTGGCTGTTTGTTTTTAGCCCCAGTAGAGAAATGCAAAATGAAAAAAGACAGACACAATATAGAGTTACCTGCTAGCAGGGTAAAAAACAGCCCCAAGGAAGGGGTGATTTTCCACTGGAGAAATGCTTTGGAGGAAGCAACCCCCACTCATCTCTCCCCTCTTCCCACTTTGTGAAGCTAAATTACACACTGGGGGAATCCCATCACAGATCTCCAGTGCAATGTGTCGTTTGATCCTTGGGCCAAAAGAGCTCCATATCCAAGGCTACCTTGTGAAGTTATGGCAAAAGAGGTGTTTGCATTGAAAAACCCCTACATCACGGCTCCACTACTTGGGCCGAGTTTTCACCGAACTGATCAACCATGCCAGGTCTGTACCTCTACAGATCACCCAGTTGAAGTCCTACATAGAAAAAGAAATCCTTTCATGTAGAAATCTAGTATTTCAGGGAGAAGGGCTGTGGCCTAGCTATGTCCCCAGCATGCTAGTTTTCTATGCGGAAGGATTTTGCCTTTTGTATGGGGGAAGCATTTCATCTTGTGAGCTTTCTACCCTCCCCTGCAGCCTGATGTGGCTTATCCAGAGGCAGGTTTTTCAACTGACACCAGCATTCATTTAGTGCATTTTTCACCCTTCCTCCGAAGGTGGGATGAAAACTATATGGTTCTCCCTTGCCCCATCTTACCCTCATAATTACCCTTGTGCAATAGGTTAAGTTGAGGGTGACTGGCCCAAGGTCATCCAGGGAGCCCGGGTTTTCTGGATTCTGCTCTGACTCTCTTAACAGCTACACCATGCTGGCCTACCAGCTCTTGAGTGAGGACACGCCTGAGAGCCAGTTTGGTGTAGTGGTTAGGAGCCCGGACTCTAATCTGGGAGAACTGGGTTTGATTCCCCACTCCTCCACATGCAGCTGCTGGTGTGACCTGGGGTCAGTTACAAGTCCTTTCAGAGCTGTTCTCTCAGGAGCAGTTCTCGAAAGAGCTCTGTCAGCCCCACCTACTTCACAGGGTGTCTGTTGTGGGGAGGGGAGGGGAAAGGAGATTGTAAGCTGCTCTGAGACTCCTTTGGATAGTGAAGGGCAGGGTACAGATCCAATCTCCTCTTCTTCTTCTGTTCTTGGTATCTCACCCAGTGCTCTTTTTGTGCTTTGCGGATACTAAGAAGAAGGGGGCAGAGCACTACACTGATCTCCTGGAGTGAGGTGACCCCCCCCCCTCCACAACTGCACACCAGAGATGCAGCTGGAAAGCGGCTGCTTCTGAGCTTGGTTCAGTGGTTGTGGCTCCAGCCAGCTTCCCAGCCGAATCAAACCCAGACTCCCAGAGGATGAGCGCCAGTCCTTGAGAGAAGGTGACCGCGGAGCAGGCAGGGAGGGAAGGGGCAGGGAGCAGGAGGCGGGCAAACGCACACAGCACACGCAGCCTAGGAAAGGGAAGCAATCTGTCCGCAAGAGAGCAATCAAATGCGACAAGGAGATGAGATGCCATCAGCCCCTCCCGATTCATCAGCAGGAGCCGCCACAAGAGGAGCCTCGGCAGCACTGGGCAGTTTGTTCCCCCAGCAATCAAAGCTAAGCCCACAGGAGGATTCTGTCAGGCTCCTCCTCGTCTGGCAGCCGAGATAAAGAGATCAGAGGCCGATTCTGTCACTTCCACTAAAATCTCCTCTCGACGGGTACTAAGAGGGATGCCTGAACCAACAAAAGGGGGGGAGGGGAGGCCCGACTGCCCCGTTGAAAGGAAGGACATTCCAAAGGGGAACTGAAATATCCACAGCTCCCTCTGCTGTTAGTCAAGGGAAGTACCATCTCTTGCATTCCATGCTTTTGCTGAAATTATCTGAAGAAATTAAAGCAGAAAATTTGGAGGCCAGGAAATCTAAATTCTACATGTTAAGACGGCTTGCACATATTTCCATCAGTTTGCATCCCGTTTATAAAAATTACAGGCCAATTTTGGACCCATTTTTGGAAACTGACTAGAGGGTTTGTTTTAAGAACACACTGGCCTTCCCTAGTTGTGCTGCTTGCAAAAAATTGTGACTTCATGTAGAGGGTGAACAAAGCAGGGAATCCAGCGTCACAAGGTCTTGCTGGAATTCCTGAAGTCAAGTTCCATGGGTAGATTACCCATGGAAGAGCTGGTGTCAAGTTCCCCCGCTTTCCATGGAACTGACTTGGGCCAAAGCCCTCGTCCAACCAGGAGAGCCACAGGCCAGCGGACTTGCGCAAGTGGAAGCAGGTGGGGGCAGCACAGTAGCAAGGCCACCTGACATCCAGCAGTTTCACAGGGCCATCTGGGGCCAGGCATCACTGCTTTTGCCTGGGAGCCATAGCCGTTAGTCCTCCCTGCTGTCTTCCCCAGCCTTCTTTAAAGGGTATGGGCCCTCTTGCAAGCGCTTAGCCACAGGTTCTGGCTGTCTGCTGCCTGGACAACAAAGCTGCCAACCAAACTCTTGCAGTTTTGCAAGACCATGCAGCAATGTTCAAGGGCCGCTCTGTTACTCAGAGAAGGACCACATCTGAGTGTCAATGTGTTGCATGTGCATCTACATTTGTAAGGCTCTCGCGTACCAGGGTTGGGAAAGGTCTCTGCCCAAAACTGCAGGACCACCAGTCTTGAGCAAGAAGGACCTGTGCTACTCTGACTCTGCAGAAGGCAGATTCATAGATGCCCGATGTGTTAACTTTAGAAGAAGAGAAGAGATTAGATTTATACCCCGCCCTTCACTACCCAAAGGAGTCTCAGAGCGGCTTACAAACTCCTTTCCCTTCCCCTCCCCACAACAGACAGCCTGTGAGGTAGGCGGGGCTGAGAGAGCTCTGATAGAAACTGCTCTTTTTCAAGAACAGATGTGCCAGAACTACAGCTTGCCCAAGGTCATCCAGCAGGTGCAAGTGGAGGAGTGGGGAATCAAACCTGGTTCTCCCAGACTGGAGTCCGCGCACTTAACCACTACACCAAACTTTTGCTGCTACTTCTCAGCTGCTTCTGTTGGATGAGATCCTAAAGCACTAAAAATCTGACCACTTTCCAACACTGTCCAATTGCATCAGTGTACCTTCCCTTCCTTCAAGCCCTCACGTTGATCTTGTGGCCAAAAAGGTTGCTTCTAAATGAAGGTTGCTCATCTGCTCTCCACTATTCAAAGCTTACCCGGCACTGATTGGCATGGTCATCTCGGTAGCTGCAGTCACCTTTGCCTTAACCGTCATGACGTTGAGGTTCATCAAATAGTAGAAGGTCAAGAGGAGCACACTGCCATCTGCAACAATATGGCCAAGAGGGGGAGGGATTTAGGAAGGAAAATCTAATTTATCGGGTTGCAGGAAGGGGAAAAGAGAGGGTACAGCAAAAAACTGCACTGCTGGTTGCAGCCCTTGGGGAAACAATACCCCCCCTTCTTGCTCACTGCAAAGGGAAAATGCCAAGCTGCAAGAAAGAAAAATTGCAAGGTGGAGAGGGGCAAAAGCTTGATCTACAACTGTGCTGTGCTGGTAGTCCTGTGTCTCATCTTACAGCCCTGCATTGCATGTTCTTTAAAGTACATAGTGGAGGGAAGGGGCTTATACCTGCACTAATGTGTGATCTAGAGCCTTTTGAAGCAGGAAAAATGTTAAGGATTGGGGCATTACGCATTAAGGCTTCCTATTAGTCTTTTGGGTGCAGGACAGTTGGGAGCAGCGTTTATCTGCTCCCTGAACCACTGACAGCAATTATGAACTGGGGTGATGTTTTCTGCACAGTTTTGATGACCTCACAATACAATTAGGATCCAATGAATCCATCTGGACTACACAGCCAAAGACAGTGCCGTCAAAATGTCAAAGAATCAAGTGGGGCCCAAAGGGGACTTCCAGTAACAAAGAGGGGATTAAACTCCCTGGTGGCTAACCGGTTCTTTCCATTCTAGCCACTGGTTATCTCCCACTGCCACATGAAGCCCAGTCCTCGTTTCCCCATGCTATTACACTTCTTTGGAATCATCAGCTGTTGTGGTGCTAGAAGGGTACACGCTCTTCTCATAGTCATAAATCAAACTGCAGTCTCTGCTAAGAGCAGACTAAACGTTCAGTGAGCCGTTATGGGTAAGTTCCCATTTCTGAAGTTTGGGGTCCAGGTGCTAGTCATTAAAACTCAAGATACCAGGAGCTTATTTGCCTGGCACTCTCATACCTTTGCATTTCAGGTCAATGGTGACTGACAGAGGGTGCCTCTTGAGCATCTCCTTGCGCTTGTCGTCCAGCTGCACCCCTAGCGTTGGGCGACGACGTTTCTATGATGGGAAAGGCAGTGTCACATATATACTACCACTCTCCTGCGTGTCCCCCCTCCCACATGACACTTGTTCACTGTGAATTCACACTAGAGATGGTGTCCCATTACATTGCTGCCAGTCCTGTCCAAGTACTTTTGAAAATAGGTGTGATATGTGGCATAAAGGACAGGAAATTGTAGCCCCATACCCCATCATACCCCAGCTTCCCTTGGAAACTGCTGCCTCAGCTTCTGGGAACCCAGGGCCAGTATCCAACCACATTCCAAAGACTTAAGGACACTTCAGTCTTCTTAACAGGGGAGCTACTTCTACCATTGTCCTTCCTCCCCATTGCTGACTCTCTGCTATGTTATTCCCGAAGTTCAATTTTGAGAGGGGCTCCATGGGAATCAGCAGAAATTATCGCCATTTCTTTTAAGTTTTTCTAGGGGCCTTTAGATCTTTGGAACATCATTGCTAGATATGGCCCCTGTTGTGAAACTGCAATTCCCCTCCCACATATGTAGGGAAACCCCATCACTCCCCTATAAGACAGTGGGTACAAGTCAAAAGGGGATAAAGCAAAGAAGTTTATCTGTTCACAAGTGCTCTTTACCTCCTTCCTCTTTTCACTCATCCCACAGCAATTTAGCTGTAGCCTGACCTGATTCTGTTATATTTGCATATTAAGTTTTTGGGTTTTTTAAAATGGATTTTACTCTGTCGTTGACTGATGGACTGGGATAGACAAGGCAGCAAAGACATTTACAAAATAAAGAGATCTCAGTATGCCCGACTTTCTTCCTTTTCATTAGACTGCCGGGGAACGGAAGAGAAGGAAGGATCCTTTGCTTCTGCGTTTACTGACTGCATCGGCACGCATTTCACACGACTACCTTTCCGCAGGGCTTGTAAGGCAGAGATGTTCCCACCAGGCTTTTGGCTGAGGACAGTGACGGGACAGCAACTAATCTGGCACTCTCATACCTCCCACCTCCCCTCACCTAACCCCTTAGGAGGCTAAGGGGGAAGCTGCAATTTTTCCCAATATGTTTGCCATCTTGGAACAGACTGTTTTTTAAATATTGTTTTGTACAGTATTTTATTATGGGGGAAGCTGTAATTTTTCCCAATATGTTTGCCATCTTGGAACAGACTGTTTTTTAAATATTGTTTTGTACAGTATTTTATTATGGTTCTAACTTAATCAGAATTATTCATTGTTCTCTTATCCTGTTGTAAACCGCCCTGAGCCGTGCCCACAGGGAAGGACGATCTAAAAGTCTAAATTAATGAAATATTAAATAAATAAAAGCATGGATGTGTCCTTTGTTATAAGCCCAAGGTAGAAAACTGCTATTGACTCCCACCCGGACCACCCTTCCTCCGCCTCCTGCTGCTTCCAATCCTATTGTACAAGAGCAGGGTAAGTGTCTTACCGTATTCTGCTCCTCCTCAGCATCTGAATCACTCTCATCATCTGTGAATCCAAATAAATGCACATAAGATGTGTCTCTCTGTGCGAAAGCAACCTTATCCCCCAAAGCAGCCATTTACAGAGACAGTCTGGCTGCTAGCCATAGGCTTATCACGAATCCATGAAATAATGCAAACAAAAAATTCTTATTTCGCAAGACAATTGCTGTTGTAAGTTTGATTTAGTGCAAGGGTGTCGAACTCATTTGTTATGAGGGCCGGATCTGACATAAATGAGACCTTGTTGGACTCAGCCATGTGTATCATAAAATGTAACACCAGGTAGCGGAGATATAAACTCTGCAAACACAAAGGGTTTTTTAACTTAAAATAAAAACATGCTTAAAACATTAGCACTCTTGCAATATTTTGTTTATTTAACAGTGTCTGATAACTGACACCTCTTGCTCTGAATTATTGCATCAAAATGTCTGTGCCGTTGCAATCCTGAGTACACTGTTCAGGTGTGTATCTGTAAGCTACAAACCTACGATGACGCAGCAGCAGCAGAACTGGAACAAGAAACAGAAGACAGCCAGTTCCACTGCGGGCCTGATAGAAGCCCTCCGGGGGCCTGATCTGGCACCCGGGCCGCATGTTTGACACCCCTGGTTCAGTGGGTTCAAGTTCTCATTTTAAGACTCAACCCTAAGACTGACCCTCTTCCCTGTTTGAAATCTGTCTACTGGTATGTGAATTCCAAATGGATGGCTGTGTTATTCTGTAGCAGCAACATAATACAAGAGTCCAGCGGCACGTTAAAACTTAACGTTTATTCTGTGAAGCCAGTTCTGACTCATGAAAGCTGATGCTGAAATAAATGTTGTTAGCCTCTAATGCGCCGCTGGAGTCTCATTTTATTTTGATATGTGAGCTTCCAGTCTCACGCTCTCAGTGGGGGGCTCTTAACTTGTTTTAAATTAATGGCTCCAAGTAACTCCTAGCTCATCAATCTGGTCTTCAACATAAAACCACAACATTTAAGCTAAAAGACGAGTTCAAAGCATTAAGCGGAGAGTGACAGCATAAAGCAAGCAGGGAGTACAGCCTCCGTCAACAGCACAAATTAAACCAGTTAAAAGCCCTGGGAAAAAACAGCAGAAATGTTTTCACTCCTTGGCAGAATGCCTGCAGAAATTAGGCCAAATGAGCCTCTTGACACAAAGTATTCCAGAGCCCCCCAGGACAGCTATGGAGCCAGCCAGCAATGTTCCCTCTAAGCTGTGGAGTCCTGTGAGCAAAAATTCTATTTTGTGAGCTACTGCCATTAATGTTGTGAGTGAGCATTTTGGCTGCAGCATAAGTTAGTCTGCTCTGGGGCCCTCCTTCCTGAGCTAAGGCAAAAAATTGTGAGCCGGAGGCTAAAATACTGTGAGCTAGCTCACACTAATCAGCTTAGAGGGAACACTGTCAGCCAGCCCATCCTTCCCGTGAGATGGAGCCTTCAGCAGGGCCTCCCCAGATACGCTCAGTACCCAGGAGCAGGGGGGAGGGGGTCTGTATAGGGGGCAGGCCCTGTGAGATAGTCAGCTTTGGAACTGGCCTGGAGAAGCATCTGGAAGACAGTGCTGAAGTGTTTGCATTGTTCTAATTTTATCTTTCCTGCCCTTCTTGCGTGCTTTCAGCTTCCTCCTGTAAAAGTCACAGTTGGCCTTTTATGAGCTTTCAGCTTTGAAGATCAAAATGTGCCTGTCACTCTCTGCCTACCTGTGCTATGCTGTGATTATGCTTGCCAACTTCTTTGTCTTGGAATACTGAAGCCTTCTGAGATTTTTTTTTTTTTTTTTAAGTACTGAAGAGGCATCTTCAGCAGCTTTTAGTCACCAGGGAGTTTTAGCCTTTTTCTTCACGTAAAAGTACAGCGATGTTAAGGGATGCTT